CTTTGAATTCTTTTTCAGATAGTTTGCCTATTTCCTCTTCATTTATTTGGTCTTGTGAAATTCTACCTTGTTCCTTCATTTGTGCTATATGTCTGTGTCTTTTCATTTTTCTCTAACTTAATGTGGTTGAAGTCTTCTTTTCCAAGGATTTATGGTTGTATTTCTTCTTCCTTTGGGGTTCCACCCTCAATAGTTAAGGTTGGTCTAGTGCTTTGTGTTGCCTTCGTGTTGGGGGTGACTTGTGCCTGCATTTTCACCCCTCTGATAGGCAGGGTTGTGTGAGGTGGTATATTTTCGAGTGTATGAGGGAATCCTGTCTGCTGATGATAGTTTTTGTGTTTTTGTCTTGCTTGTTGCTTGGGTGAGACATCCTGAACTGGGTGCCATCAGCAACTGTGTGATACTAGATTCTGTATACAGGTGTAGGCCTTCATGGAATTTCTCACTAATTAATACTCCCTGGGATTATGAGTTCTCTGGCACTCTGAGGTCCTGGATTCAGTTCAGTTCAGTTCAGTCACTCAACTGTGTCCGAATGTTTGTGATCCCATGCATTGCAGCACGCCAGGCCTCCGTGTCCATCATGAACTCCCAGAGTTTACTCAAACTCATGTCCATCAAGTCGGTGATGCCATCCAGCCATCGCATCCTCTGTCATCCCCTTCTCCTCCTGACCCAATCCCTCCCAGCATCAGGTTCTTTTCCAATGAGTCAACGCTTCACATGAGGTGGCCAAAGTATTCTAGTTTCAGCTTCAGCATCAGTACTTCCAATGAACACCCAGGACTGATCTTCTTTAGGATGGACTGGTTGGATCTCTTTGCAGTCCAAGGGACTCTCAAGAGTCTTCTACAACACCACAGTTCAAAAGCATCAATTTTTCGGCACTCAGCTTTCTTCACAGTCCAACTCTCACATCCACACATGACCACTGGAAAAACCATAGCCTTGACTAGATGGACCTTTGTTGGCAAAGTAATGTCTCTGCTTTTTAATATGCTATCTATGTTGGTCATAACTTTCCTTCCAAGGAGTAAGCGTCTTTTAATTTCATGACTGTAATCACTATCTGCAGTGATTTTGGAGTCCAAAAAAATAAAGTCTGACACTGTTTCCACTGTTTTGCCATCTAATTCCCATGAAGTGATGGTACCAGATGCCATCATCTTGGTTTTCTGAATGTTAAGCTTTAAGCCAACGTTTTCACTCTCCTCTTTCACTTTCATCAAGAGGCTTTTTAGTTCCTCTTCACTTTCTGTCATAAGGGCGGTATCATCTGCACATCTGACGTTATTGATATTTCTCCCAGCAATCTTGATTCCAGCTTGTGCTTCTTCCAGCCCAGCGCTTCTCATGGTGTATTCTGCATATACAAAATAAGCAGGGTCACAATATACACCCTTGATGTACTCCTTTTCCTATTTGGAACCAGTCTGTTGTTCCACGTCCAGTTCTAACTGTTGCTTCCTGACCTGCATATAGGTTTCTCAAGAGACAGGTCAGGTGGTCTGGTATTCCCATCTCTTTCAGAATTTTCCACAGTTTTTGTGATCCATACAGTCAAGGCTTTGGCATAGTCAATAAAGCAGAAATAGATGTTTTTCTGGAACTCTCTTGCTTTTTCGATGATCCAGCAGATGTTGACAATTTGATCTCTGGTTCTTCTGCCTTTTCTAAAACCAGTTTGAACATCTGGAAGTTCACGGTTCACATATTGCTGAAGCCTGGCTTGGAGAATTTTGAGAATTACTCTGCTAGAGTGTGAGATGAAGGCAATTGTGTGGTAGTTTGAGCATTCTTTGGGATTGCCTTTCTTAGAGATTGGAATGAAAACTGACGTTTTCCAGTCCTGTGGCCAATGCTGAGTTTTCCAAATTTGCTGGCATATTGAGTGCAGCACCTTCACAGCATCATATTTCAGGATTTGAAATAGCTCAACTGGAATTCCATCACCTCCACTAGCTTTGTTCGTAGTGATATTTTCTAAGGCCCACTTGACTTCACATTCCAGGATGTCTGACTCTAGGTGAGTGATCATGCCATCGTGATTATCTGGGTCGTGGAGATCTTTTTTGTACAGTTATTCTGTGTATTCTTGCCACCTCTTCTTAATGTATTCTGCTTCCATTAGGTCCATACCATTTCTGTCCTTTATCAAACCCATCTTTGCATGGAATGTTCCCTTGGTATCTCTAATTTTCATGAAGAGATCTCTAGTCTTTCCCATTCTGTTGTTTTCCTCTATTTCTTTGCATTGATCACTGAGGAAGGCTTCCTTATCTCTCCTTGCTATTCTTTGGAACTCTGCATTCAAATGGGAATATCTTTCCTTTTCTCCTTTGCTTTTCACTTCTCTTCTTTTCACAGCCATTTGTAAGGCCTCTTCAGACAACCATTTTGCCTTTTTGCATTTCTTTTCCATGGATTCAGTACTGCCACTCCAAAGGATCAGGCCCAATCCCTGGTCAAGGGACTGAGATTCCTCGAGTTGTTTGTTATGGCATTAAATGGGATTAAAACAAACACAGGGAGATAAAAAACAAAACATTGAAAGAAACAAAAGACCAACCCAGACATATGGTAAATACAAATCAGACAGACAATTACAAAAACAGTGGAACATATACATATGCTTACACACACACAAACATAACAGAAATATTCCAAAGAAATGAAAGTACAGAGACTGACTTGGTAAGCAAAGGAAACCAAAAATGATATCAACCAATTAAAAACAGAGCCAATTAAAACTTAAACTGGAAAACAGAACCAAAGCAGGGTGCCAATTGGGGAATAAAGCAAAGAAAACAAAACAAATTAACAAACATGGTGAAGAAAGAAAGAATAAAATAAGGGGAAAAAAGAAAAAGAAAAGGAAGAAAAGAAGAAAAAAGAAAAGTAAGATTAAATAGAAATATGTAAAAAATGATTTAAATATATTAAACAATAACTACAGCAGGAAAAGAACAATTTAAAAAAAAAAACAGAGGAAAAACAAAAAATTCATAAAGGAAAAAAAAATCCACAGCACCACATAAGGCCAGTGCAGAGGTACAAGTATATAGTGGAAATGAAGTTTGTGATTTTTTAAAAAAGAAAAAGTCTCAAGGTCATTATTCTTAGTTGTGGAGTCAGTCCCCCATGAATGAGGTTGGACCAGTGCCATGTAAAGGTTTCCTGGTTGGGGGGACTTGTGCCTGTGTTCTTGTTGATGAAGCTGGATCTCATCTCTCTGATGGGTAGTAGCATGTCCAGTAACAGGTTTTGGGGTGTCTATGGGTTCAGTGTGGCTTTGCACAGCCTGTCTGCTAGTGTGCAATGTTGTGTTTCTGTTTTCTTGAAGGATTAGCATGGGGTATCTGGGTATTGGTGCTTGCTGTCCTTTGGGTGGGCTTGGCTTTGGTATTCAGATGGAGGCCTTTTGGCGGTCTCTCATCTATTAATGTTCCCTAGGGTCAGGTGTACTCTAGTGGTTCAAAGCCTTGGGCTTCCGTCTCTACCTCAGGGGTTCAGGCTCATTGCCTATTGAAGCTCCAAGAACTCACAAGCCACACAACGCAAAAGACAAGTTCCCAATACTCGTGGTGAAGGCAACACTCAGTAGCCCAAAATACTCAGTGAAACCTACACCAAGGTCTTCTAATACTTCTAGGAAGGTCTCTGAAACTTGTGGGCAGCATGGAGTCAGTCTCACATCTGGCCTCATTTCAGTTTATAGCTGCTCCTACAGTTTCTCCTAAACTCCACAGTCTGTTCCCTACCTGGACACAAGAGAGTGAAGGCTGAGGCTCATTAAGACTCACTTGCTCTCAGGCTGGGGAGAGAGGAGGATATGGCAGCCACATAAGAGTTGTACAGGGGAATGCCTGTGAAAGTAGTAAGCTCTTGGATGCTATTACAGTCTAAGGCAGCTTGTGAATTTTCCCAGAGAAAACTGGGGTCTAGTGTTCTACAGAGAGCCTAGAACTTGGGTCTCTAGAAAGAGCCAAACTGTTTAAGCTCCCTGCAAGGTGTGGGCAGTAACCTGTGCCTGCTCATGGCCTGGTGCTAGGTGCAACCTCTGTGATTGGGAACGCATCAACAGTGTTTTTGTCTGTTGCTTCCAGCACCTTTCCTGGCTTTAACAATGGCAGTCATGTATAATTCCACAGCCTTGTTAAAGTAGCACTCTCAGCACACATCATCATGGCCACCAGCCCCCTACCTCTCCCTGGGATCTTCGTTGGAGCCTTGGCTCCCTGAACCACCACTCCCCCATTCCAGGTTGGGGTTTGTGAGCTGCTTATGGGCTGAGAAGTGTTGTTAGGCAGCTTTCTCAGTATTTTGCCTTCTGAGTTACTGCTGTTGCACAGCACTCTGAAGTTTCACAGCTTCCTCCTTGGTCCCGCCTGTGAGGGGCTTTACAAGTGCTCAGAAACTTTTCTTCCTTCATGACTCCCTCCCTCCCTTGGGACACAAGCTCCCGTCCTGAAGTCTTTTGTCTTTGTGTGTGGGGGTGGGTGTTTATCCTTTGTCCTACCTCATTCTAAGGAGATTTGCTTTCCTTTTTGGAGGTTTGGGGTCTTCTGCTGTCACTTAGTTGTTCTGTAGGACTTGTTCCACATTCTGATCAATTTTTTATGTATTTGTGGGGAGGCGGGTGATCTTCCCATCTTACTCCTCCACCATCTTCTTCCATCCTACAATGCTAGTTTAACTCTATATCCTCATCTGGAATCAGTAACTTAGAACTGGAAGGGATCTGTGAGTAGTACCACACTTCCTTTGACAGAGAAACTGAGGCCAAGAAAGAAATATCTTATCCAAAGTCACACTGTGAGTTTGTGGAGGAGTTGACTTGAGAACTCAGGAGTCCTGAGACCCTGGCCATGGGTTTAATCTGCAAGCACAACCATTATACATGGTTCTCTGCTAAGGCAGAGTAAGAGAAAACCCTTGAAATAGGAAGCTTCCAAGGCATACCTGGCAATAGAAGGCAGGGACAGGCTTTTTGAACATACCTCTTGTAACTGAGATTCTTTCTTTTTGGAAGACAGATGTAAGTGCCGATCCAGCAAGGAGTAAAACCTCTCTCCATCCTTTTCAAATTTCTTTTTCCTCTCCTAGAGGTGGGAGAGAAAGTAAAGAGTAAGATCTCTGTGATTTTAATTCAGTCTGCTCAGAAATGAGAATGAACAACACAGTGTCAGAAAAGCAAGTCAGGATTTTGCCTCAGCAGTTTCAACTTCTTCAAATATAACCTTTAACAACTTCACCTACACAAAGGGTTCCTATTTGTATAGCTAAAGGCTCTGGGAGCTAATGCTCAGACAATAGCATTTAAAATGCACCTGTATACCAGTTAATTTTTTCCCCTTAATATTTTTCACATTCATTGACTACATTAATTTTTTTTTTAGTTTTCTTCTTTTTTCATTTATTTTTATTAGTTGGAGGCTAATTACTTTACAATATTGTAGTGGCTTTTGTCATACATTGACATGAATTAGCCTTAATTTTTGAAAAGAAGAAGGAACACAATAGTCAACAGTGAATATGCCTTTCAAATGTTAATCTACAATGCAGTTAGACAGTCTAATAATAAGTAAAACATTTCCAAGAAAATTGGAATCTAAGACTGACTGTAAATTATAAGTTCTTTGATACTGTTTAAGCATTTCAGTACTACATATTAAAATATGATGTTAGAGATATGGAAAAATCCTGCAAGGCTTAACTGAAAATCAGGAGTTGAAAAGCCTTATGACGGATGGAAGACTCAGTCGTTATTTGCGTTAAGCTCTCTGCCTCTCAACACAACAATTAATAGAAATCACACAGTTTCCAAATGAGCACTAAGAATGCTAGCTTGTCACAGACTAATGCTGACATCCTGCAATCCTCTCAGCACCACATTGGGAAATTCATGTAAAAGGCTTGTGTTGTCACATAGGAAATCTAAACTCACTGAGTACCTAAAGTGTGCCAAGTATTAGATGAGGCAAAGCAAGTGACACACAGGAAAAAATATACCTCAGCCAAGGTTTATTTCTAGAGGCAATCTATTGCTGGGCAGGAAGTCAGGGCAAAACTGAGTGACCTCTTACCTGTCAAGAATGTGCTTTTTACATAAACTCAAAATGGATTAAAGACCTAAATGTAAGACCAGAAAATATAAAACTCTTAGAGGAAAATATAGGCAGAACACTAAGATAACATAAATCAAAGTAAGATCCTCTATGATCTGCCTCCTAGAGTAATGGAAATAAAAACAAAAGTAAACAAGTGGGACCTAATTAAACTTAAAAGCTTTTGCCCAGTAAAGGAAACTGTAAGCAAGGTGAAAAGACAATCCTTAGAATGGGAGGAAATCAATGAAACAACTGACAAAGGATTAATTTTCAAAATATACAAGCAGCTCGTACAACTCAATACCAGAAAAACAAACAACTCAATCAAAAAGTGGGGAAGAGACCTAAGCAGACATTTCTCCAAAGAAGACAGACAGAAGGTTAGCAAACACATGAAAAGATGTTCAACATTGTTCATTATTATAGAAATGCAAATCAAAACTAAAATGAGATATCATCTCACACCAGCCAGGATGGCCATCATCAAAAGGTCTACAAACAATAAATGCTGGATTGTGTGTGGAGAAAAGGGAACGCTCTTGCACTGTTGGTGGGAATGTAAATTGATACAGCCACTATGGAAGATGGTATGGAGATTCCTTAAAAAACTAGAAATAAAACTACCATATGACCCAGCAATCCCACTCCTAGGCATATACCCTGAGGAAACCAAAACTAAAAGAGACACATGTATTCCATTGTTCATTGTAGTACTATTTACAAAAGCTAGAACATGGAAGCAACCTAGGTGTCCATCGACAGATGAATGGATAAAGAAGTCATGGTATATATACACAATGGAATATTACTCATCCATAAAAAGGAACACATTTGAGTCAGTTTTGATGTGGTAGATGAACCTAGAACAGAGTGAAGTGAGTCAAAAAGAAAAAGATAAACACCGTATTCTAACACATATATATGGAATCTAGAAAAATGGTACTGAAGAATTTACTTACAGGGCAGCAGTGGAGAAACAGACATAGAGAATAGACTTATGGACATGGGGAGAGGGGAGGAGAGGGTGAGATGTACGGAAAGAGTAACATGGAAACTTAAATTACCATATGTAAAATAGATAGCCAATGGGAATTTGCTGTATGGCTCAGGAAACTCAAACAGGGGCTCTGTATCAACCTAGAGGGGTGGGATGGGGAGGGAGATGGGAGGGAGGTTCAAAAGGAAGGAGATACATGTATACCTATGGCTGATTCATATTGAGGTTTGACAGAAAACAGCAAAATTCTGTAAAGCAATTATCTTTCAATGAAAAATAAATTAATTAAAAAAAAACTAGGAATGATACCACCATATGACCCAGCAATTCCACTCCTAGGCATATACCCTGAGAAAACCAAAATTGAAAAAAGACACATGCATCCCATTGTTCACTGCAGCACTATTTACAATAGCTAGAACATGGAAGCAACCTAGATGTCCATTGAGAGATAAATGGATAAAGAAGTTGTGGTTCATATACACAATGGAATATCACTCACCCATAAAAAGGAACACATTTGAATCAGTTCTAGTGAGGTGGATGAACTTAGAGCCTATTATACAGAGTGAAATAAGTCAGAAAAAGAAAGATAAATATCATATTCTAATGAATATATATGGAATCTAGAAAAATGATACTGAAAAATTTATTTACAGGGCAGCAGTGGAGAAACAGACATAGAGAATAGCTTATGGACATGGGGAGAGGGGAGGAGAGGGCGAGATATAAGGAAAGAGTAACATAGAAACTTACATTACCATATGTAAAATATATGACCAATGGGAATTTGCTGTATGGCTCAGGAAACTCAAACAGGGGCTCTGTATCAACCAAGAGGGGTGGGATGGGGAAGGAGATTGAAGGGAGGTTCAAAAGGGAGGGGATATATGTATACCTATGGCTGATTCATGTTGAGGTGAGGTTTGACAGAAAACAACAAAATTCTGTAAAGCAATTATCGTTCAGTAAAAAGTCAATTAATTAATTAAAAAGAGAGAAAATATAGAGATAATTCATTTGTTAAAAAAAAAAAAAGAATGTGCATTTTAACCAGAGGAAAAAAAGTAAGAGAGGAAGCTAACATTAACTGAGGCCTAAATCAGGCCAGGCAGTTTGCTAGGTACTTAAAATCCATATCTCATTAAGTCTTCACAACCCTGAAAATTACACATTGTAAAGGAAATTAAGGTTCAAAAAAGGTGAAGTAACTTGTTGAAGGTTGCATAATATGCCAGTCTACTTTATTTCATATTGTCAAATAAAGTTCAGATAATCATGAAAATACTTTTTAGGAGGCTTGTGAATAATTTGGAGAAGGCAATGGCACCCCACTCCAGTACTCTTGCCTGGAAAATCCCATGGATGGAGGAGCCTGGTAGGCTGCAGTCCATGGGGTTGCGAAGAATCAGACATGACTGAGCGACTTCACTTTCACTTTTCACTTTTATGCATTGGAGAGGGAAATGGCAACCCACTCCAGTGTCCTTGCCTGGAGAATCCCAGGGATGGGGTCCCACAGAGTCGGACACGACTGAAGTGACTTAGAAGCAGTAGCAGTATGAATAATTGGGGAGCCTTGACTATAGGCTTAGCCCCAACTCAGATACCAAACACACGAGAAAGAGATTTTCACACAAAATATAGGTAGGGAAAACTTTTCCTCCAGGTGCTGAATCTATTTAAAGTAGCAACTGTTTGAACCATGGGAGCCAGAAAATGTCAGTGACTTCTCTAAGAATAGATAAAGCTCTGTGGGTCACTTTCTCCTACACTTCCATTTTTAAAATTACAAACTATGAGATAGAAATCATGTATCATAAAATTCACCCATTTTAAGTAAATAATTCAGTTTCTAGTATATCAACAAAGTTGTGCAACCATCACTGTTTTCTAATTCCACTATACTTCCATCACCTCAAAAATAAATCCCATACCTATTAATAATCATTCCTTGTTTTTCTGTATTTCCCCTCAAAAACCACAACTTACTTTGTGTCTCTACAAATTTGACTATTCTAGACATTTCATATAACTGAAATCATACAATAAGTTGCCTTTTGTGACTGTTTTCTTACACTTAAAATAATGCTTTTAATGTTTATCCCTATTGTAGTATGTGTCAGTACTTCATTCCTTTCTATGGCAAAATAATATTTGACTATATGGCTATATGGATATACCATATGTTCTTTATGGATTCTACAGTTGATGGACAATTGAGTTATTTCCATTTGGGGGTGGTCATAAATAATGCTGCTATGAATATTCACATACGAGACTTTATGTGGTCATGTTTTCAATTCTTTTGAGCATATACTTATGCTCAGTGGAATTAGAGTCACATGGGTGACTTTATTTTTAACTTTTTGAGGAACCATCAAACTGTTTTCCACAGTTGGTGTTTCATTTTACATTCCCCACAACAATTAATGAGAGTTTCAATTTCTCCACATACTCATTAATACTCACTTTTTGACTATACTGAAACCAGTGGGTGTGGTGTGAAGATGCACCATTACTTACTTTTTGACTCTACTGAAACCAGTGGGTGTGATGCAAAGATGCATTCACTGTGGCTGCATTCACATTGCATTTCCCTAATGACTAACAGCATGAAATGTTTTTTCCTAAGATTACTGACCCTTTGTATATGAAGTTAGCCTATGAACAACATGGGGGTTAGGCACGCCAAATCTCCCTGTAATCGAAAATCTGTGTATAACTTATAGTCCACCCTCCAAACACATGGATCCTCCACATTTACAGCTCCACATCTACAGATTCAACCAACAGATATGTCACACTGTAATATTAAACTTCAAAAATATCGACTTATAAGCAGACCCATGAAGTTCAAACCAAAGTTATTGAAGGGTTAACTATATATTCTTTGGAGAAATGTTTACTGAATTATTTTTCCCATTTTAAAATTGGGTTCTACCTTTATATTTTTCCAAAGACATACAGATGGCCAAAAAGCACGTGAAAAGTT